GCAATTTGAGCAATCATCAGTCATTGTGTTAGAGCATTCTGACATTGCAAGCCACTTGTAAGTTGATAAGACACATTTATATGGCAAATACAAGAAAATTCTACCAATGGCAGTTGCATAAGATGAAAATCAGAATATATTGTTAATTGCTTTTGCTATTGTTGAGAGTGAGATCGTAAGTGCGTAGCATTTTTTCCTTGAAAGTTTACAAAAATATGTTGTTACTAAATATGGGGCATTATATCTTATCGTCATGAGTCAATTAATGTAGCAATAAGAAGAGGCACATTGCTGTAAATTTCTTGTAGAGATTTAAGGCTTTTTACTTGCATAAACTTATCGTTTATATGGATAATAAACCTCATTTTTTGTATTTGAAATATAACAAAAAAAACATATTACTAAATGACATTCTCCATGCTTAATAAATTTGAATTTGTTATTTACAAGTTATTTGAGAACTAAACACGAATTTAATATTCATTATGAGGAAATATAGAAACGTGGACAAATCTATATAGACTAGCTTAACGAAATTGCACAAGAAAAGTGAGTTTTAGCATTTGACAACAGACATTGATAAGATCATGTCACCCTAAATTTTCTTGAATGCATTAATTAAGTATTAAAATATGCTTGCTATCTGCTTATTACATCACTTATTAAGGCCACTTACTTCTGATTGGCACAATTATTTGCACATAAAGGTGGTGAGGCCTATGCACAAAAAAATGTTGGACATTTTTACTCTAAGAATATTATAAGTCATCTTCAATCAAACGAGCGAGGCTCAAGAAACCTTTGTGTTACTCAATTTGATAAACAAAATGAGGCTTTTCATGTTTAGGATTTATCCAACAGCCAAGAAAATAGAGTTCATCTGAGACAAAATTATTATGATTGTGGAAACATACAGACTGATAGATATTCATGTCGTTACGTGATTGTTGCTTAATTTAGTCAAAACATTGATTGACATGCTTATATGAATGAAGTCTATACAATCAATGAAGTTTGTAAAGTTTACAAGAAGGAATTTAGGGTTGTCAGGAACGATCTAAGTGGAGCAAATATCGAGGTCCCAAATTTTGTCTCAATCTCGCCTTAAAACGTATTATAAAAGGTTGTTTAAAATCAACTCGTTTTCTTCATGAAATGGATATGCAACAAATGATGGGACCACCAGTTGCAGTCTTTTTCGAGGCAACAACCATAGTCATAGGCATTGTTGATGAATCCATATTTTTACTAACCCATTTGATAAGGAAAATATATGAGAAAAGCAAAAAAAACACAAAAAATTAGCATGGTTGAAAGTTTTATTTCAATTTGTAGTTATTTTAGCATTGGTGAGATTTTTGCTTAGAAATTAAGAATTTAATCTTGTTTTGTAGGAATAATCTGAGCAAGGTTTATGGAAATGGAAGATCAATGGAAAGGAAGAAGAAGAGTAGCAATTCTAGACTCAAAACACAAGAATTCTGGAATGCAAGTTAGGCGTGATCACTATTGTCAGTGAAAGTGATCGTTCCAGACCTTAAAAGAAGAAGAGAGTCTGGGCGTGGTCACTCTTACCCGCGAAAGTGAGTGTTCCAGAGAGTTTCACAAAAGAACATGTTGTGCGTTAACACTCTTGCTGGCGAAAGTGAGTGTTCCAGAGAAGACTAAAATACAACAAGCTTTGCATGGTCACTCTTACTAGCAAAAGTGAATGTTCCAGAAAAGGCTAAAAATTCAGCAAGCTCTGTGTTACCGCTTTTACCAGTGAAAGTGGATGTTCCAGAGAGACCTCAACTTGGCAAGTTGCGTGTGGTCACTTTTACTCATAAAAGTGAACACGCGCAACCACTCGACCTCCTGCGTTGCAACTCTTAGCAGCGAAAGTGATAGTTCCAGTTTCCAGAAACTACATGAGCCTCTGCGTGGCCACTCTTATCAGCAAGAGTGATAACACACAGAATCGGGATTTCTATAAATACCTATTTAAGCTCAGAGTCAAGGTCTTTTGTTCATTTTTCATTTTTTCTGTTATATTCTCGTTGAGAGAGAGTGAGAGAGAGGATTGGGGTTGAATTTCAAAGCTCCAAGAAGAGGCATTGGATTGGAGCTCGTGGAGATGGCTTCTTTGAGTTTCTTCTCTTCTTCTCCTTCTTTCTCTTTCTCTGTTACAATGTTTGCTTAATTCTTCGTAGTTAGGAGTTTATGGATCTTGAATTGATGTATTGATTCAACTTTTGCTTCTGAAATTTGAGTTCTTGGATTAATTGAGTTGTTAATTATGCTGTTATTGCAATCTTTGAATGAGAATTCGTATGATTAATCAAAGAGGAACATTTGCCAATGAAAGTTGGGTTTGCTTCTCTGATTTGAACTAACAACCAGAATTAGGGATTTCTTAGGGATAAGGGAACCTAATTCTGCAATCCTATGGTTCTAAGTCTTAATGCAACTTGAAATTGAACTTCACCTAAGGGATTAGGGTAGTTTAGTTGCTTGTTAGGGTCAATGATTTAAGAGATTAAACTTTGACTTTTAATAAGAGAAACTAATTGTCAATTAACCAATTGCTTGAATGTTTAGAGGCATAATTGAATTTATATTGACATTCTTGTGAAATAAATTCCTAACTATCTTTCATTTCTAATCTCAACATTAAATTCATACTCTGTTTTACTACAAGTTCTTTGTTCTTGTTTCTTGTTTTCTGAATGTTACAACTCTTGCAAATTCTTATAGCTCAACTAGATATTGTTCTATGAATTGATAATTGATTTCCTAATTCCCTGTGGAGGCGATACTTTGATCTTAAAAATTACTCATTACTTGCTGCAATTCCTAGTGCACTTGGTAGTCTTTAGACATTGTAACAACAAGTTTCTGGCGCCGTTGCTAGGGAATTTGAGTTTCAATATCATTAGTAACAAAAAAATTGCTAGATTGAGTACTTGTTTTCTTAAATTTTCTTTGTAGTTAGTATTACATTCAAGTTACTCTGTTCTTATTTTAATAGATAAGTTTAGAATACTAGTAGAAAATTTCTGCATGATTATGCAATTATGCATAATTCTGCAGTTGCTAGAATTGAATTTTATATGCTTTTGCTGATATTTTTCTGCATAATCTTTGTTATGCATTTCTGAATATTGAGTTGTAGTTTAATTTTGTTGCATTTTGATTTGTATATGCGTGGTAAAAATAAAAATAAATCAACTTTGGTCTTTGATCCTGACATAGACATAATAACCTTAAGAAGATTAAGAAAAGAGGTTAGAGTAGAAAAATTCATAAGTGATAATGAATTAGAAGTTGTCTATTCTCCCGAAGTTCAGAACATTCCTATCCAAAAAGGAACACCTACACCTCTAGGACAGTCAAATCCAGAAATAGAGATGGCAGAACAGAATATGATTAGAACACTAGGAGACTATGCAATTCCAAACATGCAGGGATATAACTCTTCCATAGTGAGGCCAACTATTCAAGCTGATCTACTTTGAAATAAAACCAGCCTTACTACATTTAGTGCAACAGGACCAGTTTTCTGGTGGATTTTATGATGATCCTAATCGGCATATTTCAAATACTATAAGAATGAATGGAGTAAGTGAAGATGCCATAAGACTGAGATTATTTCCATTTTCTCTAAGAGATAAAGCCAAATGTTGGTTGCAAGCTCAACCACAAGGAAGCATAACAACTTGGATAGAACTTGTGAATAAGTTTCTAACTAAATACTTTCCTCCATCCAAGGCTGCCAAATTAAGGGGGGAGATCACATCATTTGTACAGCAGGAAGGAGAGACATTGTATGAAGCATGGGAGAGATATAAGGAATTTTTGAGAAGGTGTCCACACCATTGCATTCCAGATTGGATGCAATTGGAAACCTTTTATAATGGAATGAATACATCAACAAGAACAATGGTTGATGATGCTGCTGGAGGTTCCTTAAACACAAAGTCTTTAGAAGAAGCCCAAAAGATTATTGAGATGATGGAATCTTCAATGTACCAAAATTCAAACTCAAGAAATCAAGGAAGAAACACTAGTTTTGAAGCTAAGGTTTTGGAAACCTTTCTTGCACAAAACCAGCTACAAAATCAGATGTTTTCAGAACAAATAGTTGCCCTAACTCAACAAATTAGCAATCTTTAAGCAGCCAGTATACCTACCAGTTAGCTAAGCTATGATTTCTGTGGAGGACACCATGCAAATGGTGCATGTGAGACATCTATAAGTGAACCACAGGAACAAGTCAATTACATGAACAATTTTCAGAGACAACAATCCTTATATCTTCTTGGATTTCAATTTTTGAATAATAGAAGTCAGCAGTATTCTAATTGGAATAATCAATATTCTGCTGCCAAGAATTCTAACTCCAATTTACCTTTTTCTAATGTAGGTACGGCAGCACAACAGTCTTATTTTTAGAGGAATCCATCCATTCAACCTCAAGGAACTCAGAAATTTTCCAAGCCTATTAATGAAAGGTTGACTGAGATGGAGGAAACCATGTTGCAATTCAGGAAGGTGACCCAAACAAGCTTCAAGAACCAAGAACCTTCTATGAAAAAACTGGAAACACAAATTGGACAGTTAGCTGAACAATTATCCAGCAGGGATGAAGGATGATTTCCAAGCAATACAGTGATCAATCCCAAGGAGCAATGTCAAGCCATCACTATAAGAAGTGGAGCTGTAGTTGCAAGTCCAAAAGCTGCAGAAAAGAAAGTCAATGATGAAGCAGCAGAGAGGAAAATTAAACAAGATCTACAACAAGGAAACTTCAGATTATTAAAGAAAGAGCAATCAGAAGAAAAAGTGGAAGCTCCTACAAATTCTGAAAAGAAGACAAAGAACAAAATCCTAAATAGGAGGAATAATTTGAAAAGTTTTTTAATGTTTTTAAGAAATTACAGATTAACATTCCTTTTGCAGAGGCCTTGGAGCAGATGCCTTCATATACAAAATTTATGAAAGAACTACTTTCCAGAAAAATGAAGCTAGAGCATGACAAGATAGTACCCTTGATAGAGGAATGTAGTGCCATTCTCAAGAGGAAGCTTCCTAAAAAACTAAAGGACCCAGGATCATTCAGCATTCCATGTGAAATAGGACAGGGCACTGTTGGAAGAGCATTGTGTGACTTGGGAGCAAGCATAAACTTGATGCCTTTAGCTATCATGAAGAAATTAGGCATAGAGGAAGTGAAGCCCACCAATATCACACTACAGCTAGCTGATAGATCATACACTTATCCTTATGGAATAGTTGAAGATTTATTGGTTAAAGTTGATAAGTTTATTTTCCCTGCAGATTTGCCATTTTGGACATGGAGGTGGATGCTAATATTCCCTTGATCCTAGGAAGGCCATTTCTTGCAACAGGGAGAGCTCTAATAGATGTACAAAAAGGAGAACTTATGCTTCGAGTTCAAGATGAGAAGTATAATATTTACGTGTGATAAAAATATGCTATATAGAACTAGAACAGATTCCCGTTTCATTCATTCACATTCAATTTAACGATTGACTAAAAGATAATTCAAAAAAGAATTACATTTTTATCACTCAAATTCCAATATTTCTCTGCAATAATTCAGGCTAACGAATTGATTTCGATTTTGTATATCCATATTGGATAATAATAAAAGGATGAAAGAAGGATTTTAAAAATAAAAAAAACCAAGATTCAAAAAAAAAAGAGTAGGAGTGGGGGAAGTCAAACTGGGTATATATAATCCAATCACTATAAAACAACTCCTCCTTTTTCTTTTAGATTTCAAATAATGATTCTCGAATCTGATTGAAACTAAAACACAAATAATTGGTTTACGGCATGGAAGAAATACATGTATTTGTAATATTATATATAAACTAGTTATATATGAACTAACTATATATCTAAAAAAACTATCGACTCAGCGAGTCCTTTCTTTCGTGATGAACTGTTGGCACCAGTCTTACATTTTGTCTCTGTGGACCGAAGAGAAAGGGAGCTCAGCGGCAAGAGGATTGTAACATGAGAGAAGCAAGGAGGTCAACCTTTTTCAAATATACAACATGGGTTCTGGCAATGCAATGTGGTTGGACTCTCATGTCGATCCGAATGAGTCATCCTTTCCATGGAGGTAAATCTTTGCCTGCTAGGCAAAAGGATAACAAGTTACAAATTCTGTCTTGGTAGGACATGTATTTTTATTACTATTAAATTGAAGTAGTTAACGGTGGGGTTATTATTATCCTTTTTGTGGTGACGAATCTTGTATGTGTTCCTAAGAAAAGGAATTTGTCCATTTTTTGGGGTCTCGAAGGGGCGTGGAAACACATAAGAACTCTTGAATTGAAATGGAAAAATATATGTAACTCTAGTTACTTTGGAAATGGTAAGATCTTTGGCGAAAGAACGCAAGAGGAGGGGTTGATCCGTATCATCTTGACTTGGTTCTGATTTCTCTATTTTTTTAAGAAAACTGAGTTGGGTTCTTCTCCTAGCCGTATCGAATAGAACATGCTAAGCCAAATCTTCTTCATGGAAAACCTGCTTTATTTAGATTGGGAAAATCGTACGGTTTTATGAAATCATGTGTTATTGCTCGAATCCGTAGTCAATCCTATTTCCGATAAGAGCAGTTGACAATTGAATCCAATTTTTCCCATAATTTTGTATCCGTAATAGTGTGAAAAGAAAAGAAGGCCCGACTCCAAGTTGTTTAAGAATAATGGCGTTGGGTTTCTCGACCCTTTGCCTTAGGATTAGTCAGTTCTATTTCTCGATGGAGGCAAGGGAAGAGGGATAACTCAGCGGTAGAGTGTCACCTTGCCGTGGTGGAAGTCATCAGTTTGAGCCTGATTATCCCTAAACCCAATGAGAGTTTTTCTATTTTGATGCCGTGATCGAATGATAATTGAGAACGAATAAGAGGCTCGTGGGATTGACACGAGGGGGGAATAGCTTCTCATCATATTGCAGCAGGAACATTGGGCATATTAGCAGGTCTTTTCCATCTTAGTGTGCGTCCACCGCAACGTCTATACAAAAGATTGCGTATGGGAAATATTGAAACCGTCCTTTCCAGCAGTATCGCTGCTGTCTTTTTTGCAGCTTTTGTTGTTGTTGGAACTATGTGGTATGGTTCAGTAACTACCCCTATTGAATTATTTGGTCCCACTTGTTATCAATGGGATCAAGGATACTTCTAGCAAGAAATATATCGAAGAGTTGGTGCTGGGCTAGCCGAAAATCAAAGTTCCATTCGAATATTACTAAGTACAAATTGAAAATGGACCAATAACCAAATTCCTATTCCTAGTTAAAAAAAAAACTCTTTTTTTTTCCTCATATTTATTACTATTACTATAATAAATAATGAATATAATTTTAATAGTTTTATTCCACATTTAGTCCCATCCAATCAAAATCTTAACAACAATTGAATTTAACAAATTTTGGAACTGAAATAAATTGACGAACAACCAATACCAACACAAAAATAGTGTTTATTAGTGTCAAATCAAAAATGGGGCGTGGCTAAGCGGTAAGGCAATGGGTTTTGGTCCTGCTATTCGGAGGTTCGAATCCTTCCGTCCTAGAACATATCCATTCGTGATGGATATCATATTTGAACACAAATTGTATATTTGGAATAAGGATTACCTTTTTTTTGTAATCATTGTGGATGACTATAAATTTGATGATAATTCTGTGTTGAGAGAAACAATAGCTGCAGGGAGTATTGAATCTGAAATTCCTAAAGAAGAATATATCATGGAAATTGAGCAGCAATTAGAAGCCCTACCAATTCTAAATTCTGCAGAAAATTTAGCCAAAGAAGAGCTGTAGAAAGAAATGAAAGAAGATCAAAATCATAACCTAAAGCTCAAGCAACTACCCTCTAACTTGAGATATGCTTTCTTGGATGAGAGCCACGAAAATCCAGTTATCATCAACAATGAACTCAAGGAGGAAGAAGAGGAAAAGTTGCTGAGAATTCTGAGAAAACACAAATCAGCAATAGGCTGGAGCATTTCAGGCTTGAAAGGTATAAATCCTTCTTTTTGTAAACATAGAATTCTATTTGAAGAGAAATTTAAGCTAGTTGTGCAGCCACAAAGAAGGTTGAACCCATCCATGAAAGAATTAGTGAAGAAAGAAGTGATGAAGTTGCCAGACGCAGGGATAATTTATCTAATTTCTGACAGCCAATGGGTGAGTCCAATCCAAGTTGTTCCTAAGAAAGGAGGGATGACAGTTGTGCCTAATGAGAAGAATGAGCTCATACCTAGTAGGACAGTTGTCCTTGGCCATAAGATTTCAAAAAAAGGAATGGAGGTGGACTAAGCAAAAGTTGAAGTTATTAGTAAACTGCCTCCACCAATTAATGTCAAGAGAGTTAGGAGTTTTCTAGGCCATGCTGGTTTTTATAGGAGGTTTATCAAAGACTTTTCTAAAAATTGCAAATCCTCTTAGTGATCTACTTGTGAAAGATGCTAATTTTATATTTGATGATGCTTGTTTACAAGCATTTTCTGTTTTGAAAGAAAAACTGATTTTTGCACCTATTCTTGCAAAACCTGATTAGAATTTGCCTTTTGAACTAATGTGTGATGCAAGTGATAGTACAGTGGGTGCTGTTTTAGGACAAAAAAAGGATAGGAAATTGCATGTCATTTACTATTCCAGTAAAGTTTTAAATCCTGCACAAGTGAATTACACAACCACAGAAAAAGAACTCCTTGCTATTGTGTTTGCCTTTGACAAATTCAGATCATATTTGATGGGATCAAAAGTTATTGTATATAGTGACCATTCTGCACTTAAATACTTGTTGTCAAAGCTGGATGTCAAACCAAGGTTGCTGAGATGGATTTTGTTGCTGCAGGAATTTAAGCTGGAAATTAGAGACAAAAAGGGAAAGGAAAATGGGGTAGCTGATCACCTGTCTAGACTTCCATTGGAAAGTCTAACCCCTAACTCTTTGGAAATTAATAAAGAATTTCCAGATGAAAGGCTTCTTGCAGTAGAAGAGATACTTTGGTTTGCTGACATTTCAAACTTTAAGGCTACTTAATTCATCCCAAAGAAGTTCACTTGGCAGCAAAAGAAGAAGTTCTTACATGACAGCAGATTCTATGTGTAAGACCCTTATTTGTTCAAGATTGGGGTGGATGGTCTAATTAGGATGTGCATTCCACAAAATGAACAATCTGAAGTATTATGGCATTGCCACAACTCAGAATATAGAGGCCATCATGCAAGTTCAAGGACTGTTGCAAAAGTCTTGCAAGTAGGTTTCTTTTGGCCTACACTCTTCAAGGATGCCAAGAAGTATGTTGAAAATTGTGATAAGTGTCAAAGAACTGGCAACATATCAAGGAGGCATGAGCTGCCATTGACAAACATTTTAGAAGTGGAGCTATTTGATGTATGGGGGATTGACTTCATGGGACCTTTTCTCCCATCATTTTCTCATGAATACATTTTAGTGGCAGTGGATTATGTTACCAAATGGGTGGAAGCCATCCCATAAGATCAAATGATGCCAAGGTAGTGATATCCTTTATAAGAAAGAACATTTTTGCAAGGTTTGGAGTACCCAGATTTCTGATAAGTGATGGAGGTGCCCACTTCTGCAACAAATACCTTGAAGCAGCATTAATGAAGTAAGGTGTGAAGCACAAGGTTGCTACTCTATATCATCCACAAACAAGTGGACAAGTGGAAGTGTCAAACAGAGAAATTAAGCAGATTTTGGAGAAAGTAGTGAGTAGTTTAAGAAAAGACTGGTCAAAGAAACTAGATGACTCCCTATGGGCATACTGGACTGCTTTTAAAACTCCAATTGGTATGTCACCATACCAATTGGTCTTTGGAAAGGCATGTCACTTACCTTTGGAGTTGGAGCACTGAGCTTACTAGACTACTAAGTGGCTGAATTTTGATCTACCAAGTGCTGGAAAGAAGAGAATTTTGCAATTATATGAATTGGAGGAGTTTAGATAGAAAGCTTATGATAATGCAAAGTTGTACAAAGAAAGAACCAAGAGAATTCATGATAAATTCATTTTGCAAAGAGAATTCAAACCTGGATAGCAACTGCTATTGTTTAATTCCATATTGAAATTATTTCCAGGGAAACTGAAATCAAGATGGTTTGGACCCTTTTTGATCAAGGAAACATCTCCCTTCGGAGCAATTCTGATTGAGGATCAAAGGACAGGGAAAGAATTCAAGGTTAATGGCCAAAGATTGAAGGTCTATCATGGAGAGAAGTTTACAAGGAATATCTCATGCATGAAATTGATTCCTCTTGAGTGAGGAACATTTAACGTCAAGCTAGTGACGTTAAATAAGCGCTTTG